GAAAATCCCTGTTCGTTCGGGAGATTATTAGAACGCAGGAAATGGAGAGCGGAGCGGTTAGTCACCCTTCTCGAATTTAGCCACCCTGCCAGAGGGGCAGACGAGCGCACGCGAAGTAGATACGGTCGTTTCGAGATCGCACGGCGCGGTACACGTTGCATTCCATTGATTACCGAAAAATAATTTCTCGTGATTAATTATAAAAACTGATTAACAGAAAATTGGTCAACATGGCCAATTCGTAGTAATTTCGTAAATTTTGTAATTTTGTAATTTCGTAAATTTACAACGCAGTGTAATCTTTTCTTCTATTCATTGCTCGGAATATTAATTTCCTTTGGTTGTTGGTAGTTCGTACGAGAAGCGGCGAACTACGAAATTACTGAACGAAAAATTCATATTTTTCCATTGTAAATAAATTGATGGACGCAGCTTGTCAATTATACCAGCCATACGAGATAATGCCGCTATTTCATTACCGAAAGACACCTATCGACAACTCCGCTCACGCGCCAATATTTTTCCATTGTAAATTGATGATAACGAATGACACGCGAGTTAGATCAGCAAAAAATTCTTCGACGGCCAGCCAACCGGCGGCGAGGCAGGGAATTACGATTGCTTGAAAGAAATACTAACAAGAATGCAGACATTCCACGAGTGTCGTTGCGTCAATGAGGTAACCTCTGCAGAGAGGACAGACGATATGTTCGTTCAAGTCTTTAACCAGCGGCTTCTCCCTCTCCTTCGCCTCCATGTCGTGTCGTTGCTCGTCGTTGTTCTGAAACAGCTGTGCCATCCGATTGTTAATCCAACGGGCCAAAAGACGACAACGATCGACTGTTTTTTCTTAAGCCTACGGCATACCGTAGCGTGTTTTCGCGTGTCGTCGTTCGCGCTTTTAATCCCGCTCCCGCGCGAAACTTTTCCACGCGATGCCGCGGCGGTGTCCTCGCGCGACAGCGAGGCGAATCGGCGATACTCGATCTTCCGCGTATCTAAAATTAAATCGCGTTACGTACGCATCAACGTAGCCGGCATCCGCGATATCGATGCGCGATTCTAATAAACGGTCGGAGGATTCCGAAATGCAGGTAGTCGTTGCACACTAGCCCCGAAGAGAGTAAGACGGAGTGCGGGGAGAGGGAGGGGGAAGAGGGAGGGG